GATCCCCAGCACCATCATCCATGCCAGTCCTGCCCCTGCCACCATGTAATCCCAGCTCTGGGGAGGCTGAAAACAGGAAGATCACTATGAGTCCAAGCTATGTAGTGAAATCCTGTATCAAATACGAAAGAAAGAAAGAAAGAAAGAAAGAAAGAAAGAAAGAAAGAAAGAAAGAAAGCACTAAAAGCTTTGTCACAGATGATAAAAAAGCATTTCAGAAGTAGTCATTTGGAGATATTATTTTAAAATTAAAATACAACACAAAGGAAGCCGTCCTATTTTAAATGTATTTCAGTTCCTGCTCCATAATGACAGAGCTTACCTTTTTCAGCTTTGTTTCCTTTTGCTTTTGCCAGCGCCTCATAGTACTGGTCAGCACATTCAGAGATAATGTTTTGTACATTAGAAGAAGAAGACTTCAGTGCAGGCAAAATAGCATCTGACTTTTGTTCCTCTAAACACCGATTCACATCAATGACCAGCATAGCCCCTGGGTAATGAAAAAATGTTCTGTTAATGATTATTTGCTACTTATTCCAAAAGCAAACAAAAATATAATCTAACCTTTTAGGAATGAATGTACTAGCAGTAAACCATTTTTACCCTTTTGGAGCATGTACCACATATGCTGAGTTGATCAGCAACTCACCTTCAGTTTAGGTTGTAAGAACAGGATTCTACAAGATGTGGTACATTCAAAACTGTGGGTTGGGATGTGGCTTGGTGATACGGTACCTGCCTAGCACATATGAGCCCCTTGGTTTGATCCCTAGTACTGCACCAAAGAAAAAACAATGAGTGAAAAACATCACGATATTTCCTGGGTTGTCTTGCATGATAGCAAAGCCCTAGGCTTTGTCCACTGTAGACTAAGAGAACAGGTGATCGCATTCCCAACCTAGATTATTATCAAATATCTGAGAACTAGGTTTATTAAAGCATTTGTTTTAGAATAGGTGAAATTCTATTTAAGGTATGGCAATCCTAATCTTTATTGTGTTACTATATTTGTGAGGTTGTTACATGCAAACTAAGCAAATGTTCCAAAAGATACAGCTTGTGCATGTGTGTGATGGAGTCCAGAAACTGAATTCTAGAATAGTTTAGACCAAACAAGTATTTTATACAATTTCAAGTTAGTTCCTACATCTCCTTATAAATAAAATATTATTAACTTCTTTGTTTAATAAGTTGACATAATGAATTCTTTTTGTCGTTGTTGCTACACAGGTTTATTTTTTTTTACTCATTCTTAACTTTACTGAAAATCAATAATAATTATACAGCAAATTAAAAATTGTAGACAAATATTGAAATGTGAAAGATATAAGATGTAGACAGTGAATTCTAGAGAAATATTTCTGAAATGAATACATAACAGATTAATAATAGATTGCACATTTAAAAATTATTTATGAACTTAAATATAACAATACAAATTGTCTAAACATGAAGAAGAGTTTACAGATGTCATATAATACTATAGACCTCCCCCACCCCACTCACTGAGTAGGAATTTCTGCTGTGTTCCGGGAACCCCCAGACCCAGTCCTAACCCAGGTCCCCTGAGTGTGTGGGAGAGCTTCCTGCTACCCTGCACCGGCGGGACCAGTCCCAGCCCAGACACAGCGTGGGCCAGACCCTCTCCCACCCCCTTGCGACGTCCCCCACCACTCCGCAGCACTTCCCCCACCCCGCCCGTCGAGTAGGAATTTCAACCGTGTTCTGGGAACCCACAGACCCAGTCCTAGCCCAGACCCAGTGAGTGTGAGGGAGAGCTTCCTCTCCCCCCTGCTCCACCTTGTCCTCTCCAGGCACAGCTCAGGCCTGGCATACAAGCCTGGGGTGTAACCCTGCAGCTGCAATCCCTGCAGAGAGTGTAGAGGATAGATCCA